TATGGTCCAAACACGTGGCCCACATGCCTGTGCGCTAGAGTTCAGGTGCATGTAGTTGAGTGAGGTTGGAACTCACGAGAATGCTCTAAACAAAGTGATGATGCCCCTACTTTGCCTCGTGGCATCCTCTATAAAATAAAGACACGGCTTGTGGGCACTGGCGCTGTCTCCTCATCAGGGAGCAGTGTCCCACCGAGACCCAGTTTTCATTCTCTTGTCTGTCTTTTCTCAATCCTTTCAACCCCCCCTCCCCCAACTCAGGATCACCCTTGGCTGTGGCTGGCGCGGCACAACAAAATATATAAATAGCTTTAAACACATTTTTTTAAAGTTTAACTACATCTGAAATATAAAAAATACAAATTAAAACACCAATGATATACCAGTTTTATGTTGGTGAGGACATAGGGGAATCCAAGTAAATCACCAAGGTCTCACTAAATTGGATTAAGAAACTTCAGAATTATAGGAGTCCAACATAGGTGAAAATTTCAAGGCAAAGCACCAGAGAGGAGGAAGCTATATAATGAAAAGAGCTCCTGAAACCAACATGTGAGTACTCTTGAGTCTTTGGCTGAAGACTAGCTACTCCTATGTAGGGTGATACTCCATGATGTGAGGCAAAGAATGGCCATCAGAAAACTATAAGATAAACAATTTCCAGTTGTTGTATGTATCATATCTCTGGAAATTATGGACAACACAGGGATTCTTGTAGAAATAGAATTGTTCAGTATCTTGACTATGGTGGTGGATACATGAAACTACACAGGTAATAAATTGTACACATACATGAATACATGTAAAACTGGAGAAATTTGAATAAGATTCATGAGCTGTATCGATGTCAATATCCTGGTTGTGATATGTATACTATAGTTTTGCAAAATGTTATCTTTCAGGGCAATAAAATAGAAAATATCAAAATATATCACATGTAAGGGTAAGTTTTCTTTCATGGAACTATTTTTCAGGCGTGTAGGTGTGTGTGTGTGTGTGTGTGTGTGTGTGCGCGCGCGCACGCGCGTGCAAGTGGGCACTGGTGCTTTGCCTTCAAATGTCCACCTATGTGCACTAAATGAGTCAGGGCGTAAAATATACTGCTTACTTTGGATCATGTTCAAACACGTTTCAAAGCCATTGCAATAGTTTGTGAACTTAGGGTGAACAAAGGCTGCCTGTTTTTTTCACAATTATATCTCCAGAAACAATATAAGGCAGATGCTCAATAAACATTTGTCATGTGAATGGAAGAATGAGGACAAAAGTTGTTGGAAAAAAGTAGGGACGAAATCTGCAGTACATTTTACGGACCTCACAATTTGCTTTAGTCTCTACAGAATCCTAAGTAAAACCTTGTATATACGTACTGAGTAGGCAGATTATTATGACCATCTGACGTTTGTAGACAAATTAGCTCTAATTTTGCGCTGAAGTTGCTAGAGGGCCAGGTCATTATAAACATCTGAATAGCACAACATACCTAAGTATCATTGCTGATCTAGTTCATCCTATCATGTTGATGGCGTATCCGAATGGAGATGGCTTCTTCCAACAAGATAATGCGCCATGCCATGGTGCTCGTATTGTGCAGGAGTGCTTTCAAGAACATGAAGGAGACTTGACCTTGCTTAGTTGGCCCCCACAATCACCAGACCTCAATCCAATTGAGCATTTGTGGGACGAAGTTAAAAGAGCCATCAGGCAGCTGGTTCCACAACCATCAAATCCCACAGAACTGGACAGTGCTAGTCATCAGGCATGGTGTCAGATTCCTCGCATCACCTTTCAACATCTCGTGGGGTCAATGCCAAGAAGAATCGCCGCAGTATTGAAGGCAAAAGGGGGCCCAACGAAGTACTGATGGGGTGGTCATCATAATCTGGCCACTGAGTGTATTTCTTAAGAGGAGATTCTTACTAGGGGACTAATTTGTAAAACCTAAAACTCTTTTATGTTCTCACTTTCACGCCTATAGTTAGGAAAACAAAAATGACTACTCGAGAGCCCCCTGCACCCATGGTGTCCTTTTCACAGCCGACGCCCTGGAGAAGGAGCTGTACATACGTAGTGGCCTCCATCATGGCCTCCAAGTCCAGCAGAATTTTGCTTCCCAACTCCTAACCTTATTACCAGCCTACCTTTGAATAGTGAAATTATCAATGTGAAATAGGTGAGGCTAAACCAAGAGTCAGCAGAAAAAGGACTAATAAGCAAAAATGAACTTTTATTATCTCCTCATATACCAGAGCAATCACTAAGTGCAGTCTGTTTGTTAGTCAGAAGCAGGAACCTTGCTTTAGGGTAAGAATGAAGCCACAAGAAATACTGCAGCTAATGGTCTCTGTATGGTTTGAGCTAAGCATTTTATTAATGAATATGTTTTGTTTCAAGATTGAACCATGATGATAATCCCTTCAATTTATATAGCAACTCCACTGGGGTTCCCTGGATTGGATGGTCTACCTGAGTCAATCTCAACATGTCTACGAAGAAAGGGAGTACAGTTGAGCAGGCATGACAGAGGGCAAGCCAAGCACAGGAACAAGGAGTGGGAAGGGGGCACTAAGAAGCAGACACCCTCTTCCCCATCACTTCTGAAAATGTAAACCTGTTTCCCGAGTTTAAAAAAGGAAACTAAAGAATAAGAGCTTGTGAAGGCACTGGGAGGCCAGAGAAGCTGACCTGTCGCTGATCACCTTCTGTAAGTGTTCTAAACTAAACTGAGTATAGCCACTGAAATGTTCAGCTCACTTCCTGTTTCATAATTCCTTTCTCTTTTCCTCTTTACATTATAAAAATGTCCCTAACCAAAGGTTGCCCCATACCCAGCCTATGTGAACATCCTATGTGATCACATCTTTTCTGATTCTTTCAAGCATTCAGATGATTTATGTTTTCGTACTTCCCTTCAATCAATTAGAATATGGCTGTGTTTTTCAAACTAAAATCCAACAACTTTTCATGAGTTTTTTTTAAGTCCTTTGCAGAAGTAGAAGAAGTTGTGCTTTACTAACCATCTCCATTTATGGTTAAGTGGCTAAAGTATCAGGAGAAACAAAGATACTGGTTTTGGCAATGACTGATTGTGAAAGTGAAGGTATAGGAAGGACATGTTCTCCAAAGAGGCAAAGAACGAGTTCTGACTACAGGCGGAGATTTGCTGGCAGTGCCCAAAGGTACTGACATGTAACACCGACCATGCACCTGGTATAAAGTGCTTTTTAACTACGAAGGAAGCATACCTTGATCTAAAAAATACCAATTAGATATTTAACTAAGAGAACAATAGTTTGAGCTTCTTTCACATTTTCTTTAACTGTAAGTTTCGAGAACTCGAAGAATTTTAGGAGCAATCTGTATCTTTTACTTTTGTGAACTAAATTCTCTTTTTATTAGGTTCACTAAATCTGTAAACGTAAAACAGGAATTTAGCAGCATTTGTAAACAAATCAGAAAAAAAGGAGGACCCTCTTCAAGATGAAAAGCTAAACCCTTAAAGTATTATCTTTAAGGTACTATAACTATTTATTCAACTATTTTATTTCTTGTCCTAAATATATTACTGACTTCTGCCATCACTCCATAATGCAAATTTGTTATGGTTACAGGGAAACCTGAAGCGTGTTTATCAGTCTAGGACCAAAACTGGTCCCATCACATGTAAGTGAGAGTTTTTAGTATCCCACTATAAGAAATGAGTGACAAGCAATAAGGCCAGGAAAAGTAAGAGCCACCTTCGTAACATCAGTGAATGTGGGTAACCAGGGAGAGGTTTAGGAAGGATTCGTTTGAAGGAAATGGAAAGCAGAAAACAGATTGTTTCAGCAAAACAGGTGAAGTCAGAGAAGAAGCAAGACATTAGTTGATTAGGAAAATCTAGAAGGTAAGTGACTGCTCATAAATTTTCTAAGAAAATGTGAGTCTTTGTGCCCAATGTACAGAAATGGGAGACTAAGCCCTAGCTGATCTGGCTCAGTGGATAGAGCCTCGGCCCATGGACTGAAGGGTCATGGATTGGATTCTGGTCAAGGGCACGTACCTCTGTTGCAGGCTAGATCCCAGGCCCCAGTTGGGGTTTGTGCAGGAGGCAACCAATGTTTCTCTCTGTGTCTCTCCCCCTCCCTTCCACTCTCTCTAAAAATCAGTGGGAAAATATCCTTGGGTAAGGATTAACAATAACAACAAAAACAAAACAAACAAATGAGAGACCATGGAAGTATTACCACTTGTGCACTAAGAGTATCTACTAATAACTAAATTAAGGATAAGGGCTTGCATTATGATAAATATTAGTGGAAAGTAAAAGTGAAAAAGAACAATTTTTTAAAAAAGTATATCCTAAGCTGAGTCAAATAGCAGTGAGCAACAGGATTCTGAATTATCTAATAACCTACCTATAGATGATTTCCTTCCCTGACATGAACTCACTTTATTTATTGAATAATGTTTGCACCCTAACATGCTAACTAACACTGCCTTACACTACAGGCACACCCTCTGAGAAGTAAAAGTGCAAACTAAGATGCCTACCCTTCCCTCCCCCTATTGTACCTCACCTCGTCCTACTCCCTTGCTGGTAGTGGATTGAAGGATTGAAGGATTGAAGGATGGAAATGGAAGTTATCTCTGAGCAAAAGCTGGGAAACTTTCTGTTTGTACCACCCAAAACTTGTTTTAACACACTTACCAACATCTCCATAAACATAGAGGCCCTTTGGAGGTTTGCTCCTTGAAAAAAGCTGCAAATTAAGAACAAATTATAAATCTCTAACATGGAAATCATTAAATATCATCATATACATAGTGTTCCTAACTGTGCTATATATACAGGGCTAAAATGGACTATTATGCACAATAAGTAAAAAAAACAAACAAACAAAAAAACTTGATGTAAAAGGCTGGGAAACCTAACTTAGGTTTCAATACAAGAGGCAAAATGCATAGTGGTCCAGAGCAGGAGCTCTGAAGTCATGCAAGTTTACATTCCTATACCATCTGCTAACCATGTAATCTTCCCCCTCTTTCCCAACCAGCTCTCCAAACAATGGCAGCCTGGCTCATTCTCAGCAAGCAACAGATTAGAAGAATTTTTCTGGAAAAACTAAATGATATCCAGCCTTTTTTGCTGCCCTAGGCCTGTCCTGCCCATGACTCTCAAAGTCGTTTCCTGATTCGATCTTTATTTGAAACATCTGCTGTGAACTGCTTCCTGCCAGGACTCAGATACACACCCAACCCCTACAATGCACAGACATGACTTTAGACAAACACCTGGACATGTGGACATGAGTAAGTTTCTCTAATGACCAGTGTAAGATCTGTTCTGTTACTTGTATCTTAGGAAATTTGTAAAGGAGGAGGTGGAGGATACCTTTCTACAGGGTTTTTGATGAGTCCAATAACACTGCATTGTACCACTGAGCCACACTGGCCAGGCCATTGTAAATTGTACAGATGGTAAACTTAAGGATGATGTTGAAAGATTGTGGTAACCTATCACCTCCCTCTGCTAAGCATAAAAGAAACAGCACAAGAGTACTGGAGTTGGACCCAACAGATCTGGTACAAATTCTGGTTCTGCTACTTATTAGCTATGTAACTCTGGGTAAGCCTCATCAACCCTACGATCTGCTATTTCCTTATCTGTTGGGTGCAGGGCAGAGCACAGAGGAGTTCCCACTCACTGCCTACTTCTGCATACCTAATCACAAGGCCCACTCACTCACAATGAAGACTGAAAACTACGTGTGCTGACTGATACCTGCTTCCATCCAAACTTGGGGCCATGAAAAAGGAAACGTTGCACCCTTTGACACACTCATCTCAAAGACCTGAATAACAAACACTAACATACACTCAAGATATTTTATATTTAAAACTCTATACCAAATGAATCAAGAATTCAAGACAGGTAGCCCAATTTCAAATATAGCCCATGTGCGAAGCCATAAAGGAAACCTCAACAAATTCCAAAGAATCAATGTACTCCAACCATAATATAATAAAGTTAGAAATAATGGAAGAATTGCTAAAAATAGAAAAGCCTCATACTAAGACATTGACCTTCCCATCACATGCACCCAAACTTCTGAATATTGCTGAAAAAAGGTCTGAAAGGCTTGCAGACTGCACCTTCTCACCAGCCCCTCCATATTGTCAACAATTGTTTCCCTGGTTAGTTCACTCTCTTTCTCCACAATGATACTCTAGATAGAACCTTCTCAGCTTCCTTCATGCTAAACTATACTTCCTCTATCACTTTCAGCAGATATCTCCTACTTCTTCATAGGGAGAAAACAGAGGCAGTGGGTTGGAACACCTTCAACTTCCTATATGAAAGTGAGCCCACCCATATCTGTACCCATCCTTTCCTCTCTTCCTCCTGTGACAAAGGAAGATGATTCCTCCCCCAATACAACCTTCTATCAATTTCTGGATCTCAGCCCCTCCCCCGAACCTTCTCAGGAACTGTGGCCCATTAAATTAAATTTTTCACTTCTCTTGTAATCCTTCTCTTGAACATCTTTATAACTATCTTCCTGTGAATGTATTTTTACAACCTTGAAGTGTGATGTTTTATAAGCAAAACACAAACCCAAAAACTATAAGGGGAAAGATAGCTACATTAAAAGAAGTGGAGTTAAACATTTCTGTTTCGGAGTGGGGGGGTGGAGGGGGAATGTTAAGAAAGGTAAAAAGATAAACTGCAAAAAAAAGAAAAATTTATTATAAAAAAGAATTTATTTCCTTGGTAAACAAAGAGCTTTTATAAATCAATAAGAAAAACAAATACAAATTGCTTAAACATATAAAAAATACTTCATTTCATTCACAATAAAAGATATGTGATTTATGCCCTGGCCGGTTTGGCTCAGTGGATAGAGCATCGGCCTGCGGACTCAAGAGTCCCAGGTTTGATTCCGGTCAAGGGCATGTACCTTGGTTGCGGGCATATACCAGTGGGGAGTGTGCAGGAGGCAGCTGATCGATGTTTCTCTCTCATCTCTCATCGATGTTTCTAACTCTCTATCCCTCTCCCTTCCTCTCTGTAAAAAATCAATAAAATATATTTTTTTAAAAAGATAAGTGATTTACAATAATAATGATAAACCACCATGACAAAATTCTAAAAGTCTCAGAGAATACAGTATTATTAAAAATGTAGACAGACAGGTAGGCTCATAAATTGTAAGAATATGAATTGCTGCAGTTTATTTTTTAGATAAATGTCATTGTCTATCAGAATGTAAAGTACATATACCCTTTAACTGAACAATTCCATTTCTAGAAATTTATCCTACAGGAATGACCACACGTACAAGATATATTAGTATATTCATATGATGGAGTACTATACCACTGTTAAAAGCTAATGAATTGTTGGATATTCAAATGAAAGAATTTTTTAAAATGAGGTAGTTCTTATAAGAAGTAGAGACTCTCATTATTTGCAGATGATATGATATTGTATATTAAGAACCCTAAAGATTCCACCAAAATACTACTAGAATTGATAACTGAATTCAGTAAAATAGCAGGATACAAAAAAAAAATTTAAATCCAGACATCAATGGCATTTTTATACACCAATAATGAACTATCAGAAAGAGAAACTATGAAAATAACCCCATTCACAATTGCTTCAAAAAGAATAAAATACCTAGAAATAAATTTAACCAAGGATATAAAAGACCTGTACTCAAAAATTATAAGACACTGAAGAAAGAAATTGAGGAACATAAAAACAAATGAAAGCATATACCGTGATCATGGATAGGAATAATTAACATCATTAAAATGTCCATAATTCAAAGCAATCTACAGAGTCAATGCAATTCCTATCAAGATAATAATCTAGTATATCACTAAACGAGAACAAATGTTTCAAAAACTTGTATGGAACCACAAAAGACCTCAAATAGCAACAGCAATCTTGAGATAGAAGAACAAAGTTTGAGGAATCACCCTACCTGATATCAAACTATACTATAAGGCCAAAAAATCAAAACAGCATGGTACTGGCAAAAAACAGCAAGATGTATAGATCAATGGCACAGAATAGAGAGCCCAGAATTAAATCCACAACTTTATAGTCAATTAATATTGAACAAAGGAGGCAAAAACATATAATGGACTAAAGATAGTCTATTCAATAAATGGTGTTGGGAAAATTAGAGAGAAGACATGTGCAAAAAAAAATTAAACTAGACCACCTTCTTACATCACACACAAGAATAAACTCATTATGAATTAAAGCCCCAGATAGTTTGGCTCAGTGGATAGAGCATTGGCCTGGGGACTGAAGGGTCTTAGGTTTGATTCCGGTCAAGGGCACATACCTCAGTTGATTGCAGGCTCAATTCCCAGCCTGGTACGGGCTCCTGGGGAGGCAACCAATCAATGTCGATTTGTCTCTCTCACATTGATTATTTCTCTCTCTGTCTCTCCCCCTTTCTTCCACTCTCTCTAAAATTCAATGGAAAAATATCCTTGGTGACAATTAACAAATAAAATGGAATAAAAACTTAAATGTTAGACTCAAAACCATAAAAACCCTGGAAGAGTAATACTTTCAACAATAAAGATTTTTTTTAAAATCCTAGAAGAAAACATAGGCAGTAAAATCTCAGACATTCTAGTAGCAATATTTTTCCTAATATATCTCCTCCAGCAAGTGAAACAAAAGAAAAAATAAACAAATGGAAATACATCAAACTAAAAAGTTTTTGCACAGCAAATGAAACTATCAACACAATGAAAAGACAACCCACTGAATAGGAGGACATATTTGCCAACGATACATCTGATAAGGGATTAATAATATCCAAAGTTTATAAAGAACTCATAAGACTCAACACCAAAGAAACAAACAATTTAATTGAAAAATGGGCAGAGGAACTAAACAGACACTTCTCCAAAGAGGACATACAGATGGTCAATAGACATATGAAAAGATGCTCAACGTCACTAATCAAAGAAATGCAAATTAAAACCATAAAGAGCCCGGCTGCATGGCTCAATGGTTGAGCACTGACCTATGAACCAGGAAATCATGGTTCCATCCACGGTCAGGATACATGCCCCAGTTGTAAGCTCGATCCCCATAGGGGCCAAGCAGGAGGCAGCCAATCAATGATAATAGACATATGAAAAGATGCTCAACGTCACTAATCAAAGAAATGCAAATTAAAACCATAAAGAGCCCGGCTGCATGGCTCAATGGTTGAGCACTGACCTATGAACCAGGAAATCATGGTTCCATCCACGGTCAGGATACATGCCCCAGTTGTAAGCTCGATCCCCATAGGGGCCAAGCAGGAGGCAGCCAATCAATGATACATTGAAGAATTTATTTACAATAGCCATTGAAGAATTTATTTACAACAGCAGCCCAAATGTCCATCAGTAGATGAGTGGATAAAAATGCTGTGATAAATTGACACAATGGAATGCTATTCTGCTGTAAAAAGGAAGAAAATTTTACCCTTTGTGACAGCATGGATGGACCTGGACAACATTATGCTAAGTGAAATAAGCCAGTCGGAGAAAGACAAGTATACCATATGATTTCACTCATGTGTAGAATTTAATGAAACTGAACTACCAAGCAAAACCGAGACAGACTCATAGACATAGAGAGCAGGCAGACAGCTTTGGATGGGGGCAGGGAGGGTAGGGGTGGAGGTACTGCCCCAAAAAAGAAAAAAAGACAGAGAAGACATAGACAACAGTGTGGTGA